GGAGATGAAAATATCTTTAAAAAAACCTTTTTGTTAGTTTTACAAACTAACAAAGTTGTTGCTCAAAAATATTAAAATATATTTAAGGAACATTTCACATTTTTTTGTTCCAAATACATTTTTTAAAACTACCTGGTGAGGATGATGATGATTAAACTCCCATGACTCACTCTGCAGGACTTTTAACTCCTCCCCCGTGACCTTTGACCCCTCCCCCAGTCTGGATGTTGCCATGGTGACCTCAGTAAACAGCAGAAAACAGAGGAGGGGGTGTCAGTGTCGGGTTATGTGTCAGATCAGCTGTTTCCAGGTTCCCCCCTCTGCCCCCTGCTGGTGACAGGATGGCTGGACCTGGCCGGTCCAATCAGAAGGACCCGCGGGGGCAGGAAGCCGGCTCATATACACGACCCGGGACCAGCAGAGACCTGGACTGAGACACCTGTTTGGATTCGACCCAAATCTGCGACTTGACCTGAGGTAAGAATCGATTCTGAACCTAAGAGTGTTTCCTGTAAAATGTGGGCTTCAGGACAGAGCAGAGGGGTTCCTGTGGACCTGAAGGAGGGCTGGATTCAGTTTCTGGTCTCTTGAAGTCCTGCAGAAATCCTCATTCTTGTTTCTTTGTTGGGTTTTTCACAGTTTCACAACCCAGATCAGACTGCAGCTGTTCACGTGTGTGTGAGTGTAGGTGTGTGAGTGTGTTTAGGTCTGTGTGTGTGTGTGTGTGTGTGTGGACAGGTTTTTCCTACAACGTGGGGAATTTTTTTCCCCCCCAAAAAAAAGCAGCCTCGTGGGGACTGAAGTGAATCGTGGGGACCAATGCCCCGTCCCCACTGGTCCAAATGCATGTTACAGGTGTGGGGTTAGGTTTAGGACCAAGGTTTAGGTTAGTTTTAGGGTCAGGTACCTGTGAGGTTAGTTTAGGGTCAGGTAGGTACCTGTGAGGTTAGTTTTAGGGTCAGGTACCTGTGAGGTTAAATTTAGAGTATATGGTCAGGGTTAAAGTCTAAAAAACATGAATGGAAGTCAATGGAAGGTCCCCACAGGGTCAAGAAACAAACATGTGTCAGTGTGTATGTGTGTGTGTGTGTGCGTGCGTGTTTAGGTTTGTGTGTGTAGGTGAACGTGTATGTGTGTGTGTGTGTTTAGGTTTGTGTATGTGCGTGTAGGTTTGTGTATTTTCTGTCAACATGAGGAAGAGGAGATCTGACAGCTGTTCAGTTCTGAGTTATTTTTACTCGTCCAGTTGGTGTCCTTCGTTTACACCCACCTCCCCAAATACCAGCAGGTTAAAGAGCTGCCGGACCGGGTCCAGATCTGGTTTTACACTGGTCCAGATCTGGTTTTACACTGGGTCCAGATCTGGTTTTACACTGGGTCCAGATCTGGTTTTACACTGGGTTCAGATCTGGTTTTACACTGGGTCCAGATCTGGTTTTAAAACAAAGACTGTATGTTCTGATCCGGACTGAATAAATCCAATAATCTGAACCTCGTCTCGCCCCTCAGTTCTCCTCACAGACAGAGACAGGTCCGGTTCTCCGGATGTTTGGGTCCAACACTCGGTTCTGCTCCGGCGGGTACAACATCAGCCCGAGACCTGAGGAGGGGACGGACCAGCTGGTCCAAACCATCGGACCCAACCTAACCCGCGTGATGAGTGTCGGCACCGCCAAACAGGTTCTGATGGACGGGCTGGAGGACGAGTCCTGCCTGTCTGTGGTGGCCCAGGCTGAGAGTAAGAACCAGAACCGGGCCGGTTCTGAAGGGTCTGGGTACATTATAGTTTCCTGTTAGAAAAATATCTCCTGATGATTTAAARTTGTAAAAGTTTTTAACAAAAATATCAAATCTGTTGCTTTAATCTAGTTTTGAAAGATGAATTTAGGTTTAACCAGAACCAAACCAGTCCAGGTGCTGGTCCAGTTTCTGGTCCAGTTTCTGCTCCGGTTTCTGACAAGAAGAAATAAACTTTAAATATTTTTCTGCTTCCAGGTGAAGATTTTCAAGAGTTCAGTCCGTCCAACATCCAGAGTCCATACAGCAGGTCTGAGCCGGGTCACAGACACAGGTACTGCCAACAGGCTTCTCACCTGGTGAGAAATCTTCAGTCAGGGTTTCTCACCTGGTGAGAAGTCTTCAACAAGGAGGGCTTCTCACCTGGTGAGAAGTCTTCAATAAGGAGGGCTTCTCACATGGTGAGAAGTCTTCAGTCAGGGTTTCTCATCTGGTGAGAAGTCTTCAACAAGGAGGGTTTCTCACCTGGTGAGAAGTCTTCTACAAGGAGGGTTTCTCACCTGGTGAGAAGTCTTCAACAAGGAGGGTTTCTCACCTGGTGAGAAGTCTTCTACAAGGAGGGTTCCTCACCTGGTGAGATGTCTTCAACAAGGAGGGTTTCTCACCTGGTGAGAAGTCTTCATCAAGGAGGGCTTCTCACCTGGTGAGAAGTCTTCAGTCAGGGTTTCTCACCTGGTGAGAAATCTTCAACAAGCAGGGCTTCTCACCTGGTGTGAAGTCTTCAACAAGGAGGGCTTCTCACCTGGTGAGAAGTCTTTAGTCAGGGCTTCTCACCTTGTGTTAAATCTTCAACAAGGAGGGCTTCTCACCTGGTGAGAAGTCTTCAACAAGGAGGGCTTCTCACCTGGTGAGAAGTCTTCAACAAGGAGGGTTTCTCACCTGGTGAGAAGTCTTCTACAAGGAGGGTTTCTCACCTGGTGAGAAGTCTTCAACAAGGAGGGCTTCTCACCTGGTGAGAAGTCTTCTACAAGGAGGGTTTCTCACCTGGTGAGAAGTCTTCAAAGAGGAGGACCTTTCACCTGGTGAGAAGTCTTCAACAAGGAGGGCTTCTCACCTGGTGAGAAGTCTTCTACAAGGAGGGCTTCTCACCTGGTGAGAAGTCTTCAAAGAGGAGGACCTTTCACCTGGTGAGAATTATTTCACAATGAGGGTTTCTCACCTGGTGAGAAGCCTCTCACTAGTAAAAAAAGAGACAGAAAACTTCTCTCTATAGTAATTTTTAATTTTTTTCTCAGAGTTGAAGATGCTGCACTGCTCAGAGTCTCTGATGATGAGGAGGATGAAGATCAGGTCCTTCACAGGAACCACAGGAGACCCAGGAGGAAGACTCGGAGCTGTCTGTGGAGACCCGGGGAGGGACCAGAAGCACCCGTCATCCAGGGTCTGTGGGTTCAGGAGATTGATTGGCTGAAGACGACATCGTCCTCTGACATCATCCCGCCTCCGCCTCAGTTCACAGACTCCTGCTGCCATGGCAACCGGCTGCACATGATGTCATCAGACCCAGCTGACGGGTCAGGTGACTCTCAGGAGCCCCGGTCGGACTCGTCCTGCTGCATCCACCCCAACGTTTCAGATCTGACCTTGGACCTGATGCATGTCTCTGGATTTAACTCCGCCCCTCACACGGAGGAGGACTCTGACTCGGAGCAAAGCATTCTGGGAGTTTCTGACTCGTTCGACTCTCTGAGCAGCGAGTCCCACGGGACCTGTGGCTCTGATGACACCTCTGACCCGGTGTTTGAGGAGCTGAGGGGCCGAGTGACGCAGATACCAAAGCTGTTTGCTTCGGCTCTGTTCAGAGATCCGGTCCAGCAGATTCTGGACGTCTGGAAGACGAGTGGACCCGCTAACGAAGGCCTCGTGTTTCACCAGGTAGGTCCACCAGGTGTTCTGCTCTAGCTGATTCAAGATGGCCAACAGCTAATGCAGATGGCTTCATTTTGGTTTTAGCTACTCCAGCCCAGTAATCAGCAGTACAGGGAGGGAGAGGAGTACTACGTTCTTGATCACATCCAGAACGGTTCCTACGGAGACGTGTTCTGTGTTCAGGACCGAAGAACCGGCTTCAGGTGTGCCGCCAAAAAGGTAAAAGAATGACTGCTGATACTGTGATGTTCAAGATGAAAGCATCAGTATAGTAGTTAAAAGCTACCAAACTGTACCAAAAATGAAACAAAATGATAAAAAAGCTAAAAGTAGCAAAAGGCTAGCTAAAGCCAAAGAAGCACAATGCTAGCTAAAAGCTAAATATGCTAAAATGCAAGTTAAAGGCAGCATAACAATAGCTAAAATGCATGACCAACAATGACCGGACGAGGAAGTGGGAAAGAACCAGTTAAGTGACAGGGTTGAGGGAAAAGTGGAAACAGCTGAGTGATTACAGAGTGYAGACAGSTGAGAGAGAATAATCTGGAAGGTACTGATAACCTGAGGACAGAGAAGAGAGTGTATCGACACTGGAGGAACAACAGAGKGGGACACAGCACAAGACACAAAACACAAGATCCTCACAAAATATAGAAGAAACATAGCTCAAAGTGGCATAAAGCTAGGGAAAAAGATAAAAGTTGCTAAAGCCTAGCTTAATGTAGCATTGGGGTAGTTAAAGCTAATGCAAAAGGCTAACTAGAACAAAAGTAAAAAAYGCTAACTAAATGGGTAGTTAAAAGTAAAATTAACAGAACAGTAGCAAAAACCTAAAGTTAGCATAAGAAGCCATACATAGAGCTAGTAGCTGAAGAAGAACTTGCCTCATAATAAATGCTGACTCAGATTTATACAGTATTGAATGCTGATTCAGCTTTTATACAGTAATGAATGCTGACTCAGTTTTGACACAGTCATGAATGCTGACTCAGCTCTAACCAGTTAAGAATGCTGATTCAGTTTTGACATTCATGAATTCTGACTTAGTTTTGACATAGTAATGAATGCTGACTCAGCTCTAACGCAGTAATGAATGCTGACTCAGCTCTAATGCAGTAATGAATGCTGACTCAGCTCTAACGYCGTAATGAATGCTGACTCAGCGCTAACCAGTTGTAAATGMTCMCTCAGTTTTGACACAGTCATGAATGCTGACTCAGTTTTGACACAGTCATGAATGCTGACTCAGCTCTAACGCAGTAATGAATGCTGACTCAGCTCTAACTCCGTAATGAATGCTGACTCAGCTCTAACCAGTTATAAATGCTGACTCAGTTTTGACGGTCATGAATTCAGTCTTAGTTTTGACATAGTAATAAATGCTGACTCAGCTCTGATACAGTAATGAATGCTGACTCAGCTCTAGCGCACTAATAAATGCTGACTCAGCTCTAACAAAGTAATAAATGCTGACTCAGCTCTAACAAAGTAATGAATGCTCACTCAGCTCTAACACAGTAATAAATGCAGACTCAGCTTTAACACAGTGGTGAATGCTGACTCAGCATGAATAGGATAGTGAATGACTCAGCATTATCATGATAACGAATGATGACTCAGCATTATCATGATAGTGAATGATGACTCAGCATTATCATGATAACGAATGATGACTCAGCATTATCATGATAGTGAATGATGACAGCATTATCATGATAACTAATGATGACTCAGCATTATCATGATAGTGAATGATGACTCAGCATTATCATGATAGTGAATGATGACTCAGCATTATCATGATAATGAATGATGACTCAGCATTATCATGATAATGAATGATGACTCAGCATTATTGTCATGTTCTCCTGTCAGGTCCCTTTGGGTCTGTTCCGCAGTGAGGAGGTGAGGACCTGGAGTTCTCTGAGTTCTCCTCGGGTCGTGGATCTGTTCGGAGCTGTGAGAGACGGACTGAACGTGGTGCTCTTCATGGACCTGAAACCAGGTAAACCTATAAGACTATTTTCACAAACCGTCTGTGTGGTCTAAGACCTGACGGACTGCACTTCCTGGCCCCTGCAGCTTGTTTGTCCCAGCTCCTGAAGGAAATGACCTGCCTYCCTGAAGACCTGGCTCTGCATTACTTGCACCAGACTCTGGGGGCTCTGGAGCACCTGCACCACAGGAAGGTGGTCCACCTGGATGTAAAAGGTGGGGGTCACCTGCATGTTCAGACAGGTTTCTTAAAGGGACAGTTCAGGTGATTGACTGAACCCTGTCTTCCAGTGGACAACGTCCTGCTCTCTGCGGACTGCAGGGACACTTTCCTCTGTGACTTCGGTCTCTCTCAGAGATTAGACGAAGGTGGGCGGAGCTCCAAGGCCTTCAGAGGTGAGTTCATTCTGAAAACTTTACAGTAATTCACTACCACTCCCGTTAATTCATTTATTTATTCACTTATTGATTTATATAGTGATTACCAACAACCAACTAAGGTGACCAAAGCACTTTACAGTAAAAATCACATCACAAGAAAAGAAAACATGAAAGAAGAGTAAAAAATGCCACTACGCTACATGGTATTAAAAAACCTGAGAAATACGTCTTGCGCTTCGACTTAATGATGTCGGGGTCAGAGGTGGAGCGAAGGTCTAGGGCAGAGATTCTTAACCTGTGGGCCGCGAGCGCCACCTTGAGGGCCTCAAAAGAACAACAGTTTTTAACTTTGGGCCGCAGAGGGCCGCAGGAGCGCATTCATTTTGAATAAGGTGCAATACACTTTCTCACCACTAGTAGCAGTAGTGCGCCACTCAGATGTTTAACAACTTTTGTAATACTGTACATAGAAGAAGAACCTTAGATACATGCAGAGTGAGGTACACTTCGCTGCAGCATGCAGCTCGGGGCGGTGACAGACCTTTCCGTCAGTCATACCTTATATGGAAATGGGACTATTGCATTCCGGAAATGAAGGTTGCTCCTTAAAGACGCGGGAGTAAGAGAGCAAAGGAAGAAGAAAGGAAGAAGTTAGAGAGTTTCTTCTACTCATGTTCTACACTTCGCTGCAATGGAAAACTCACAAAGTCAACAAATGAGGAAAGGAAGAAGAAAGAAAGAAGTTTGAGAGTTTCTTCTACTGACGTTCAAGTACACTTCGCTGCAATGGAAAACTCACAAAGTCAACAAATGAGGAAAGGAAGAAGAAAGAAAGAAGTTTGAGAGTTTCTTCTACTGACGTTCAAGTACACTTCGCTGCAATGGAAAACTCACAAAGTCAACAAA